ATTATATAGATATTAAGTTATTCAGAAACAAAATAACTCTAATACTTTTGTATCTGGTTCTAAACTAGGAGGTGATAAGCTAGTATTAAAACGAGAAACTCTTCATTAAATCTTAGGGGCTGGTAGCCAGTCTTAACCACTAGCTGTTCTTCTCCCTATTTCTCCGTAGTAACTTTTCCTCAATCTCTCCTTCCGTACCAGAAAACCACTGATTGTTTTTCTCTCTCTGTGTGTGCTCGTAACGGGGAGACAGTTACTGATTTCAACCGCTAACTGTTTTCCTCTCTCTAGCTCTCCATTTACCAGATAGTGACACTTAACTATTATAGGTTTTCCACCTCTCTCCCCAATAACATCAGATTTTCATGGTCTTCTTATTTTTTAGCTGAACGTTGTTATTGGTTTTAGAAAAAAATGCGATCACGAGATAATAAATTGAGTCATTGATAAAAACAAAGATAAGGACGGATTTGGTCAGTGTCGCCGAGTGAAGTATAAAACCCCGCTGGTGTGTGCTGAATTATACAGATTAACAGAGGTATTTTGAGGTTAACGAACAGTTGATATCACTGCCAACAAACTCATTACACCCTAGACGTATACTGTTACAGACGGAAACAGAATCTGATTCTATCTTCGCCAAAAGAGGCAGACAACATTATGTAGAGCCCCAGTGTTTATGGACACGTGTACAACTCTATCATACATCTAAACGACAACAGATTCGTCTGATAACTGCTTACCACATAATTGGCTGAAGCTCATTCCGTTCACCTTATCGTCCAACACATCGTGCCGACGAAAGTGACGGGAAAACCAACTCATCACTCCTGATGAGGTGTAACGTCAATTTGTCACGTGACTTGTCAATTAGCTGTCTTGTCACATCCTTAATGGTTGCGAAGCGTCTCATTGATCGAATTTCTTATCTTTAGCACTCCGACGCTTGAAGCAACGTACCTGATGTTGCTAAGATATCTAAATAACGCATTTTTACCGTTAAATATTCCTATCTGTCCGCCGTATCAGCTTCGTTCCGTACGTATTGTAAATGTACGGTATTTCAATCACAAATGTACCGTTGTAAATGTTAATTATTATCATCATCTTTGCATTTAAATACTTTCGAAATTTTAACAGTTTTTTCAGATGACAATTTTATAAGATCGCGTTACCAGTAGTATTGATTTGAAGTGTTGACTCATCCGAAAATGTGGTGTAGTCGAATCTCGTCAGGTTGAGGATGACTTGTTCTGGATATAGAAATTACAAATATTTCACAATACCTTAAATTGGAGTTAAACATCATTTATTTCAGTCATTTAGGATGTTTAATTGAAAATCAATGGTTATGTGATATCTAGACTGACAGACGATCAGTGTGAACAAAGCCTATATCTACTTGATCATATTTAGCGTATTGACCTGAAAACACAGATATGTTTAAGTCATTTATATGAAAGCTTAATCAACAGATAAATTAAAATATATGAGTTCCATCAAATTTAAACTTGAAATTTGTATTTAATCAGTATTAATATGAAATTTGTGTTTATTCAAAGTTAAACTAGAATTTTTATGAATAATCAATTATAAATTTGAAATATGTTTGCACTCTTTTTTAGATTCGTAATATGTGTCCTCAAAAGTTAAATGAAAATAACTTAATGTCAAATCTACGAAAAAACATAATACATATGATATATATATACCTTTGCTACTTAGCCTACTTTGAGCCCCCTATGGTTTGTTAGGATTTTTAATATAAACGATGCATCCGGAAAAGTAACATTCTTTGTACGTGTAATACCAAGACATGCACGCGTAGCCAATGATCACGTGATCTTGGAAAGAAAATGAAAATATGCATGAGTTATGAAGCCAAAACCCCAGCATGCAAATGATTCATTGTTGAAAAAGCTGGATCAGTAGTGTGTGAATAATGGAATGGCCATTTAGGTTACTAGACCAGGATAGAAACACAGTACACACATGCTATCGCTCCGTAATTATATACCACTAACTAATGGTACAGAGCCACTCAAACGTCCTCGGGTGATTTTCAAGAAACCAAATAGTCAACAACGTTAGCTTCGCGATTTGGACTTGAAAAGGAAAATAATAAAATAGTCATGCTATCAGTATTTTGCTTAAAATGTAGCTCAATGCATCATAAAATAAATGTTCATGACATATCATTATGTATTTGTTACGTGCGTTTTATTGATAACTATGCGTTTTGTTGATAAACATGCATTTTGTTGATAAACATGCATTTTGTTGATAAACATGCATTTTTTCGGTAATGATGTGTTTTTGCACGTGCATGTTTTTGGAGGAAAATGATCAGGCAAAATATTTGTTCAATGCGTGTTTTGGTTAAGACATGTAACAGGAAGTATTTAAGCACGTGCATGGTTTTGTTTAGATATGATCACGTGATGTATTTGAGATGGTGTATAAACCAGATCGTGACCACGTGATGTATTAATAAATTTGCACATTTATATAACCACTACTATACATGCTAATTGATGTATATTATAAGCGTATCTTACTGAATGCCATGATCACGTGATCATTGGCTACGCGTGCATGTTTTGGTATTTCCATGATTTATTATTTATTGATACATGTACAAGTTTATTGATGAAGAACAACCCCCGACACACTTGGATTCCATTGCTGTGCTATATCAGACACACACGTCAATGTATAGTGAGGTTTGGCCTGATGATCAATCGAGTTGACGGTCAGCTGATAATGAGTGGACATTAACGGCCATAGCTGTGTCCGACCTGTTAATCGACAAAGGTGCCGTTATGTACTCATCATTATACGTACTACAGACATGACTACCTGGTACTGATTTATGGACACGAGACAATCACTTATTATTCATCGACATAAACGTGTCAGCCGAGTTGTAATTGTTCCAGCTATATCTCCCTCAGGTGTGAGAGCTTTACGGCTCTCTAGTCAGACAGATATACCCATCATTCTGTTTGTAATTTTGCAATCTTTCTCTTTTGAAAACGTGAAATAGTAAAAAAAAAAAAAATGATGTACGGATGCAAGGTTATCGTGAAATTTGGGATTGCCCCGGAAGACTCTGTAAAATACACGTATGTAAGGACAGGTGCAAGGAACCGAGTTTTTCCGGAACTTCGCACTATTGTCTAAATCATATCCACCATAAGTTCTGGCGACATATATATTCTTGTCAATGAAACGCTTGGCATCCTATTTAACATGCCATCATCTACGACTCAAATGACTACGATGTTGGACTTCTTCTAACCTCACCAGAGTTCCCTTATTTTAATTTGATGAATGATATTTCTCAAGTTTTAGATTAAATATACGGGTTGCCAGACCTTCACATTTTAGTGGGTTTTGTTNGGGTTGCCACAACGGATTATACCGCCGCCTCCAAAATACCGAAATTTTGCCCTGTTTTAAGTGTATCCCCGTCATCTAAACACGTTTGAGAGTACTCCGCCACGTGCACGCAGGCACCTGCATATACACACGTAGCTGGTTAATAGGGCAATCAGTCGTATTGCATGGTCAATGTGGTTTCTATCACAGGAGAGTTCCGTCACCAGCCACTGTGTAATTATGAGATATCCTATCGCCGTTTTATCTTTTTACGTTCGTGATTAAGCGGAAGGAACTCCGATTACGTAAAAGAGTCCCGGTTGGCGGTTAGACATCAAACAAATGGTGGGATGAATGAAAAAAAGTTACTCGCACACTTAGAAATTATAAATGGAAAAATTACACGATAGCGAATAGGTCCAAGATATGTCTAGATAAAGTCACTTAGGTCGCAAATTTCACTTTAAAGATTACGTACAAGGTTGTATAAATAAAACTCATCATCAGGAAGACCAGTAGCTCACTGGTATCGTGTCAAACATCATATATCAAGTGATGACGTAACGAAAGTAAATAGTAAATAAACTAGACAAGTTTGAAATACCAAATCAAAAACACGTTTGGATTTGTTCAATAAATACCTCTTTAAAGTTCTTATTTTTTTTATTAAACATATGCTTTCAAACATTTTTAAGTTTTGTGGTACGTTTGAAATAAAAGAGCAGAACATAAAAATACATATACAAGCATTCATTCACCACTTGCTTAATCTCGGCAGCCCTAATGAGACTGTGTATGACACCAGACAACTGCCTTCAGACCATGCTACCGTTGTGTAGAGGTGCAGACAGCTGACGACCTAACCCCATTGTTTATGGTATGCATTTGTGCCATGTTTTTTCCTTCCTGTCAGTTTTAATGCCATTGAGAACTAAATCAAAGCTGTATATATCACGTATTGTGAATCAATTAGAGGGTCAAAACGCATTATAAACATACCTTTTTGATAAAAACTTTTATTATTCAATTGCCGAGCACGTTTGTTTGTTTTCTCTGTTTTGTGATCTTTTAAAATCAATGTTGATAAATGGACTGAATTATAAAAGAAAAAAAAACATATTCAGGCGGTATGTTATAATATTAAAAATCTCCGTAATACTTTTTTCGAGAATATGCAAATGATTATTCGCGAGAATTTTAAACCGCGAAGTAAATAATGACAGATAGAGCCTTTGTACATGTGCCTGTAAATATTCATAATTCCTGCGAAAACAAAAACCTCGAGAAAATACACTGGGGCGCAACACCGGATAGTCACCGTTACCCGTGTTCGAACCCTCGGCCCCTGTTGGGTGTGTATGTGGCTTCGATTCCCTGACTATTTTAAGCTAGAAGGTGATCGACCCAGCTGTTTGGTGAACTCTGTATAGGTATCGTGTTTATAGCAACCGCAGCGTCACAGGGGTGTTGTGGTAATAGTGCTTGTAGAAACAACACGAGATCCGACCGAACGGATAATATATACCAAACTCTTTTTGGATTTACACTCAGCGACCTTATTTTTCAAAAGTATAAGTTTAACATTTGATTTGATAGCATTCTTTTTTTTTGTTTTACAGACTTGAAGTAGAAGAGGTTAACGAAATACGTGGTGTCATGAGTTTAGCCTGTCTGGTCTGTCTGCGCAGGCGCCTGTATCTACTTCCACTCATCACGACATTATGGATTATCATGTCACTTTTCATATCGTAAGTTATCTTTTTTTTTGTTATTTCGATCACTTAGCAAGAGATGTAAGGATAAAAAAGTGCTTTGAGTGAGCTGGTGTGGTAGTTATGTTAACAAGTTTCGTCAATATGAAGCTAGCAATCTTCCGGAACTGAGTTGGGTTCCATACATAACGTTATTATTTGATAATTACGAAGGCTGTTCATATCGTTCAATTAAAATGTGATCAGGGTATCATAATGTATCGTTTCTCCTGAAAGTGTACCTAAAATTCAGCCGTAGTTGTTATTTTACCAGACAATTCTAAATGGCCGATTTCCATTAAAGTTTACGAATACGTAAGCGTTGCTACGTGAATCAATGATGCAGTATTTGTTAGCAATGGTATTGCATCTGTTTGGATTTCCATAGCTCTGTAGGAGCTTTGTTGGTTTCAGGCCCACTATCTGTAGAACTCTGTAACATTTAAAACCTAGATTGTTGTTTGTAGACACACAAATAACACATTCACTATAGCAATGGTGCCAGACTGTTCCATTTCTTATAAATTAATTCTCATATGATTTAAAACCCGAACAAAAAGGCACACTATGTCTGCATCTAAGGCCAAGTTATAATTGAAACAAATTTACCTAAATCAACATTTTGTATTTCGTTTCAACATTATTACATAATATGTATTTCGAGCTTTATCAGCAATGAGCGTGCATTAAACTCAGTTACAGCAGAATTATATACCTAAATATACAGGGGTCCTTGAGACAATCACACAGGGGGAGTACTAAACAATGAACATACAGTATCGTGTATTACAATAAGGAGGTATCTGTGTGAGGAGGGCACATTATGTAAATGTACGTGCGCGATCTGACTAGGGTGGGGGATAGGGAGGGACATTTCATTTATATTTATACCGGAATACTTTTGTTTGTAGATATGGAATAGCAGTGAGCTATGGCCATACGGAGCCAGACTTCCCTTATATAAGGTAAGAATCTTTACAGAAGTTTTTGATAAATAAGTCACCCTTTTCATAATTTGGAAAAATAATAAAATAATTAATTAAGCTCAGAAAAAAAACTCGATTAGTCTCTATCTCAACATCACTATTGCATACCTGCCTGAGTACAAGATGTTAAATATTACTTTTGTTTGATTCTTCGCCTCAAACTCCAATCTAACCTATACTGTCTCTGACACTCGAACTAGTAGGAACTGTGCAGTGAATGTCATGGACGCTGTACCTTGCTTTTATTCGTCTAGTCACACAGCCATTGAAGCACCAGAACGATGTGTCTTCGGTCAGCTGGTCAATATAGGAGCCGTCATGCGTGAGTAAACACCTTTATCATCTCGTACCAACGCGTCAAGTGAAACCTTTTTACTCCGGATACTTTGCAGTCACAGAGATAAAAGAATTTCGATTTCTCCACAATAACGATACCAGCATATTAATCTTTATTTTTTTCACCTCGTTTTTTAATATTAACACACGACAGACATGAGTGGTTTCATCATAGTCAAAACTAAAATCAAAAGCCCTTACGGAAAAACGAATGTTGCCGGGTTATCACAATACCGATCAAAGACTCTGGTTACTGTAATCCTATGGTTATTCATAAAAAATAATCAGCAAATTTTGAAACAACATTTTTTCTTTTGCTTTGTCTTATTTCCCCAAAATAAACTCACAAAAACAAGTTAGCGGTGTGTTTCACCATGAAACCTTTTTCGAAATCATCTGTTTTCATTCTTTTCACAAGCCGATCACAGCAAATTATAGATTAGGTCTCAACGAATGGTTCATTGTTTTAATTCGGTGCATAATTTTTAGATAAAACCTGCATTCCTAAGCGTGATCGATACACTGGTTCATTACAAGTACTCCGTACACTTGTACCGACATTGTACATGGGGTCGAACTAGTCGTATCCCTAGCTAGTCCTTGACATTGTATAGGGGGTCGAACTAGTCGTATCCCTAGCTAGACAGGACTGAAACTGGAGATCAACAAATTCATTCCTTTTGATAAATGATATAAGAGAGATTGAAAAAATACGATATTGGGGATTCGAAATCAAACTAAGATTTTATTCGAATTGATATGTATATAAGCAATTACTGATCATCATATATGAAAATTGATATTATGTATCTATATGTATATTTTGTATATTGTAACATCGGGTTCACCTTTCAAATTATGCAGCGAAATGATTTCCCTACATCTTCCATTGTGTAAGAGTCTGACTATAAGGAGGGTTGGTAGTATACAGAGCTGGTCCACAAACAAGTGTTTTGATCATAGGAAGATTCCAACTTGAGCCATCACTGCCAGTTCATTGTAATGAACACCTTTTGTTTTATCAATTGTTTTATTTATCGGATTATGAATTAACTGATGTTCTATTGGGCAGTTCATTGTGTTATCAGCTTTCCTCGGAGGACACTGGGTATTTAGATTAGGACCTGTATCATATGTATGTCAAATGATAAAAACATATCATAATTAGTTTACTTAATATGAACATGCGCATGTAGTACAAAACACCACGATCTTTCTTTTCTTTGTTACTTCCATTATTCTTAATATTGAAACAGTGGGTTACCGAAATAGCTGATGTAGTGTAGGGGTGTCACAATATGCAAAGAGTGTATTACGATATATTGCAATACAAATTAAATGTATTGCGATACGTATCCCGATATATTGTCATAGGAAGTATGTGCTCAATTTTATGATAAGTTGGTGTCAGAATGTTATCAAACTTAATCATATATAATATGGATTACATATATTTAAGATTTTTGTCAAACCAACCATCGATTACAATTTGTAGTAATTTGCAAAGTTAAAACGCCAAGCAGTTACATAAACATGCTTTTGAAAAATATTGCGATACAGCAATATTTCATCTCTGTATTGTGGCACGATATGATATACCCGTGTATCGCGATATACACACACAACATGTACCCGTTTTCCGATGTATTGTGACAGCCCTAATGTAATGCAATGTAATTTGTTGGTGCTCATATTGTTGCCACTTGTAAAATATTCATATTTGAAGGAAATGATAAGGTTGTGTATAGCAATACTTACAATATTATTAAACTGATCCCAATAAATCGGGTTTTAATCCAATTGTCGACGCTTCTCGAATCTAAATACCCTTGTTATCTACAATTTCTGGTTTGTATAGGTTTTGATGTTTTCTATACGTCAACAGTTCATGTTATTGAATCTACTCAGTATACCAGTTCAAAGTGAAGCTTGTTTAAAAATTCTCTCTGATATTTTAAATCGGATTTAACACAATTTACATAGTAATATATACGAAAAAAGGGGTAATGTAGGTTTGTACAGGATACCGAGTAATGTAGGTTTGTACAGGATACTGGGTAATGTAGGTTTGTACAGGATACTGGGTAATGTAGGTTTGTACAGGATACTGGGTAATGTAGGTTTGTACAGGATACCGGGTAATGTAGGTTTGTACAGGATACTGGGTAATATAGGTTTGTACAGGATACCGGGTAATGTAGGTTTGTACGGGATACTGGGGAATGTAGGTTTGTACAGGATACTGGGTAATATAGGGTTGTACAGGATACCGGGTATTGTAGGTTTGTACAGGATACCCGGTAATGTAGGTTTGTATAGGATACCGGGGAATGTAGGTTTGTACGGGATACCGGGTAATGTAAGGTTGTACAGGATACCGGGCAATGTAGGTTTGTATAGGATACAGGGTAATGTAGGTTTGTGCAGGATACCGGGTAATGGAGGTTTGTACAGGATACCGAGTAATGTAGATTTGTACAGGATACCGGGTATTGTAGGTTTGTACAGGATACCGGGTAATGTAGGTTTGTACAGGAAACCGGGTAATGTAAGTTTGTACAGGATACCGGGTAATGTTGGTTTGTACAGGATACCGGGTAATGTAGGTTTGTACAGGATACCGGGTAATGTAGGTTTGTACAGGATACCGGGTAATGTAGGTTTGTACAGGATAATATTAATAATATACAACATTTGATATAGCGCCCTATCTAGCTAACATGAGCCACTCTAAAGGGCTTTACAGTACATAGATATACAATGTTTTACAGTCAATACAATTAGCATATATATTAATCAATACAATATATAGGAATTCGCAGGAGCTGCCTTATCAGGCGCTTGCTACTAGTCCTATGCCACCTGGCTAATATCTCCCTATGTGTGTATGCCTGCGTGTGTGCTGGAAATGTATTGTGTCCGGGTAATGTAGGTTTGTACAGGATACCGGGTAATGCAGGTTTGTACATGATACCGGGTAATGTACAGGATACCGGGTAATGAAGGTTTGTACAGGATACCGGGTAATGGTTTAGGGTTTTCTTTGCCATTTTATACCATTACGTAATTATCGCCCTTTCACCATTTCGTGATAAAAATGCCGACATCCATTTTGTCCGAAAATACTGTGTAAAGTGATGCCCTGTTAAAACTAGGAAACCTTGTTTAAGGTCTGGTCGGTGCATATTTCCGGATTGTATAGGGTTTGTTTTAGACAGGATAAACGTGATGAGTCGTACTGCATGGTCTGGTTCATACAAATGTCCGGAGTAGACAGAGTTCAATTAGGACGAGCTTAATTTCAAACGTTTTAATTACACAGAACACTGGGACTTAAGCATTAATAGGATGGAATATGGAGATGCCTATGGATGTTAGATAAACTATAACTATGATGGTAACACATTTCATAACAGAATATGCTGTAACATTTTCAAATTGGTTCAGTTCGCCGTCTGGAATTCTAAGTACTTACAGCTTCGTCGTCAGTTTGCAACGCGATAAGGTTGCCGAGGAATGATTGTAACTTGTTGGTGTAACAAGATCTCCAATTCACACTTCTATTTGGGAAATAAAACCTCGATAACACCACGGCGGTATCAGCACAATCAGAAAAAAGAATATTAGATTTAAATTTATTTCAAAAATAGAAAAATGCTATTCGCAGTATAAAACAGTTCATTTTATAAGATTTATTCTCGACGGTATTTTCCAGGGTTTGATAGACATATTATAAGTACCTGTAGTGAAACGAGATAATGGATTCCAGTGAGGAGTCGATCTACCCTCCAACCCAGTCTATATCACCTCCTCCACACACACCTGCTTGAAGGTGATCAGGAAATGATCATTCTAATTCACAGCACTACGAATCAGATTATAAAAATGTTAAGTTAAAATTTAATTTATCTTTCATGACATAACTATGCATTCGAAGGGGGGGGGGGGGGGGGGGCAGTATAAATTCATGAATGGATCCGCGCCTCCCCAACATAGCATAAATATATTATTGTGTATACATATTTCATTGGGCATACATATATCTGAGTATTTAAGTACCCCTCACCCCACCTAAAACAACTATACCATAATAGAACATTCTTAAAGACTAGTGGAGACTTCGCATTTCCCTTCTTTTTTTAATATATACAAATATTTCGTATATTTTTTTTTTATTATATAAGGTTCATTCAAACATTAAGCTCGCTAAGATAACTTTGCTGTACCTAATTAGGCTGAATTTGTATGATTATTAGCTGTTTGTTGAGATTTGATACTGACTATATCTTTTAAGACGCAATTCCGCTTTATTGCAGTTGGAATGAACGTGCTCGTTAGATATCTTTTCCTGAAGGAAATATTCAAGCACAAGAAGATGCATAACGTTCAGAAGTGGCAGAACGGTAACATCGCCGGAGTTGTTATCGGGGTGTTATCGGCGCTTGGAATGAGCATGGTCGCAAACTTTCAGGTAACGTAGATTTCATCTAATACAAATGATCATTATCATATTTTTTACAAGTGTTATGGCTGATATGAGATATGTAATATGTAGGACTAATCATTTTTAAATTAAGGGACTTGTAATCTTTGACACATCCCGATGTTAAGTTTACTTGGATACACGTTTATTATAAACACGAGTGTTGCGTTATATTGTAACTGCCAGTGCCGTATGAAACACATTTTTAAAAGTTAATAATCGCATTTTAAGTATTGTCATTATTTTTCAATAAAAATAGAACGTTTCCGAAAACACCATTTTAGTAAAAATGATCCATTTCAATTATTATCAGATCCAGTTTTCTACACTGAATTGTTAATAATGATTAAATATTATTAACATATAATAGACAACACGCTAGTTGATGCCACCGATGATACCCGTTAGAACAATGATACTCTACACGTTCGAATCGACAACTGAAATGGCGTTAATATGTCACAGGATGATAGAGTCTGCAGTAAAACGAGACAATAGATCGAATTTACCAACTTTCCTATCCCTTTCTGTTAGTGAAAGCATTCCAATACTTGTTGGTACAATACGAATTCCCTATACCTCATGGCTCTGTGGGTACAATACGAATTCCCTATACCTCCTGGCTCTGTGGGTACAATACGAATTCCCTATACCTCCTGGCTCTGTGGGTACAATACGAATTCCCTATACGTCATGGCTCTGTGGGTACAATACGAATTCCCTATGCCTCATGGCTCTGTGGGTACAATACGAATTCCCTGTACCTCATGGCTCTGTGGGTACAATACGAATTCCCTATACGTCATGGCTCTGTGGGTACAATACGAATTCCCTATTCCTCATGGCTCTGTGGGTACAATACGAATTCCCTATCCCTCGTGGCTCTGTGGGTACAATACGAATTCCCTATACGTCATGGCTCTGTGGGTACAATACGAATTCCCTATCCCTCATGGCTCTGTTGGTACAATACGAATTCCCTATCCCTCATGGCTCTGTGGGTACAATACGAATTCCCTATTCCTCATGGCTCTGTTGGTACAATACGAATTCCCTAACCCTCATGGCTCTGTGGGTATAATACGAATTCCCTATACCTCATGGCTCTGTGGGCACAATACGAATTCCCTATACCTCATGGCTCTGTTTGTACAATACGAATTCCCTATACCTCATGGCTCTGTGGGAACAATACGAATTCCCTAACCCTCATGGCTCTGTGGGTACAATACGAATTCCCTATACGTCATGGCTCTGTGGGTACAATACGAATTCCCTATCCCTCATGTCTCTGTGGGTACAATACGAATTCCCTAACCCTCATGGCTCTGTGGGTATAATACGAATTCCCTATACCTCATGGCTCTGTGGGTACAATACGGATTCCCTATACCTCATGGCTCTGTTGGTACAATACGAATTCCCTAACCCTCATGGCTCTGTGGGTATAATACGAATTCCCTATACCTCATGGCTCTGTGGGAACAATACGAATTCCCTAACCCTCATGGCTCTGTTGGTACAATACGAATTCCCTAACCCTCATGGCTCTGTGGGTATAATACGAATTCCCTATACCTCATGGCTCTGTGGGAACAATACGAATTCCCTAACCCTCATGGCTCTGTGGGTACAATACGAATTCCCTATTCCTCATGGCTCTGTTGGTACAATACGAATTCCCTAACCCTCATGGCTCTGTGGGTATAATACGAATTCCCTATACCTCATGGCTCTGTGGGAACAATACGAATTCCCTAACCCTCATGGCTCTGTTAGTACAATACGAATTCCCTAACCCTCATGGCTCTGTGGGTATAATACGAATTCCCTATACCTCATGGCTCTGTGGGTAAAATACGAATTTCCTATACCTCGTGGCTCTGTGGGTACAATACGAATTCCCTATACCTCATGTCTCTGTGGGTACAATACGAATTCCCTATACCTCCTGGCTCTGTGGGTACAATACGAATTCCCTATACGTCATGGCTCTGTGGGTACAATACGAATTCCCTATCCCTCGTGGCTCTGTGGGTACAATACGAATTCCCTATACCTCCTGGCTCTGTGGGTACAATACGAATTCCCTATACGTCATGGCTCTGTGGGTACAATACGAATTCCCTATGCCTCATGGCTCTGTGGGTACAATACGAATTCCCTATCCCTCGTGGCTCTGTGGGTACAATACGAATTCCCTATCCCTCATGTCTCTGTGGGTACAATACGAATTCCCTATACCTCATGTCTCTGTGGGTACAATACGAATTCCCTATACCTCGTGGCTCTGTGGGTACAATACGAATTCCCTATACGTCATGGCTCTGTGGGTACAATACGAATTCCCTATTCCTCATGGCTCTGTGGGTACAATACGAATTCCCTATTCCTCATGGCTCTGTGGGTACAATACGAATTCCCTATGCCTCATGGCTCTGTGGGTACAATACGAATTCCCTATTCCTCATGGCTCTGTGGGTACAATACGAATTCCCTATACCTCATGGCTCTGTGGTTCTGTTATATTTGGACGTATGTATACACTACGCATAGACGAAAATTAGCCGCTAATTGATCAGCCTGGTTGACCAGACTTTTTAAGTTTTTAAGAATCGTTTAAGTATACGATGTTATTGTCATTATCTTTTTCTAAGCAGACAGAAGTGCAGAGAGGCCCACACTACGCAGGGGCCGGTCTTGCCTTCGTCATGGGAACGGCTTACACGTGGCTGCAGACGCTCATCACGTGGCGTTTACGTCGAGAGGGCCTAGGGAACAAGTGTCTAGCAGTAGTGCGATTCATAAACTGTTTTGTGCTCACGTGCTTCCTAATAACTTGTATCCTTTATAATGATATATAAATACAAAAAATGTAAATTACTTGCTACGTGTATATAGACTAGATAACGTTGGTTTAATAGGTAACGTCGATCGGGATGTATGCTTTTATTTGGTTTATTATCTTTCATATCCAGAGCAAAAACCTTGTATGTTAATTGTTGGGCTATTATATGAAAGATTAGGAGTTTCAGTCCGGTACACTGCTACAGTTTGTCTGTATTTGTGCAATATAACTATATACAGTGGTCCGAAGTTTTGCATTTTTTTATATAAACTTGTGGAGTTTTGTGAGAAAAATGTGTTATTGTATGTAATGTGCATGGTTAAGATGCTCTTTAAATCCGATTGGCGATTCCATTATAAATCATTACATGCAATGTTAACGTAAATCATAACACGCAATATCAATGTGATGCAATATAATATATACCAAAACGCAATTTCGCTGTTCATTTGGATGTTATTATTATTAGTGAACTTAATCTTTATGTAAACGTTACACGCCTTTATGTATATTGAAATTTTAATCAATTGATACATTTTGCTTCCTTGACATTTCACAGTCAGCGTATCTAAAACCTATTACAAAATAAAGGAGCACCTAGGGGAGGGTACAAAAAACGTAAGTAGTTGTAATATTGCGCTCATTTCAGTAACAGTTATCTCCCTTCCTTTATATTTTTCGTGTGTACCCTGTACATGGCTACAAAGAGTTACAGGACAGAGCTACGTACGTGTGGGTGGCCCAGCAGAAACCCTGGCAGCAAACAGCTGTACAAATAATGGATAGAAAACAAACTACATGGGTGCAGTGGATCAAATTTGATGCATGAAATTCACGGTGGTAGACAAATATTTGGATCGTAACTGATGGTAAAACCACGCAAGTTTATTTTTATGTTTTTCATATCGTTCACAAATTACAGTCCTAGTACTGTGGTTGACGAAGTAAATAAGAGTTAAAAGAAGTAACTTTTACATGATAAAGATTCTGGATTTTCAGCAGAGTTATAGGGTGAATTTGAAAAAGTAGCCGTTTGGGTTTAGTTTTTATCACAGTTTGGTTATATTATTTGCTTTTGTTGTATATCTACAACTGTGATATCTACAACTGTGATATCTACAAAATCGGCCAAACTGGTGAATCAGAGTTCAGATCACACTAAACGTCTACACACTTTCTACCGTAGGTACTCTGCTGATTAGAGTAAACGTTAGCCTGCTGTATCGTATTGCCTGATGATATGATGCGACCAATGTGGGTCCCTTGGTCAGTTCTCTGCTAAAGACATGAAAGAGACGAAAATTGACCTTCCTGTTACATCTGAAATATTAACCCCCCTCTTCTTCTAGGGCCTGTCTTAGTACATTTTATGCATACAATATTTATACGGTGACTATTTCATTTGAGGTAACGTCGATTTGTACACCTACCGTGTGTCAGTGTATGGCTTTATTGTTTGACGGGCCATTCAGAACAAAAATGATAACCCTCATTTATCTATTCATCTCCAGATAAAAGACCTTCAGTTCATTAACTATCGTCTGTGTACTGTTCATAGGGAACATTACTTATAGAGCTGTATCATGTTGTCATTTGGATTTATGAAGCATTCCGACGACTGGATTTATTTGTATGTCTTAACGATCATATAACAACGGGTTACATGCAAATATAGGGCGATATCAGCATGATATCAGGAAATCTCTCCAATACAGCACACATGTGCTCGTAGATCACTGTACGCTTGTTGTTTCCCTGAAACGGAAGTCAGAGTTGATCATGTACTAGAGTAAGTCACTCCCACTTCCGGTTTCCTTAAGGTCAATAACTTATTGTAAGTAAAGCAGGATTTTCCGTAATGTCCGCGCCTGGTTTGTTATACGTCCTCAGTAACGTTATTCTACCGATCATCACACAGAACCGTACTACAATGTACTACGTACATCAGTATTAGTATATCAGTCCGAATAGCGTACTACAATGTACTACGTACATCAGTATTAGTATACCAGTCCGGATAGCGTACTACAATGTACTACGTACATCAGTATTAGTATACCAGTCCGGATAGCGTACTACAATGTACTACGTACATCAGTATTAGTATACCAGTCCGGATAGCGTACTACAATGTACTACGTACATCAGTATTAGTATACCAGTCCGGATAGCGTACTACAATGTACTACGTACATCAGTATTAGTATACCAGTCCGGATAGCGTACTACAATGTACTACGTACATCAGTATTAGTATACCAGTCCGGATAGCGTACTACAATGTACTACGTACATCAGTATTAGTATACCAGTCCGGATAGCGTACTACAATGTACTACGTACATCAGTATTAGTATACCAGTCCGGATAGCGTACTACAATGTACTACGTACATCAGTATTAGTATACCAGTCCGGATAGCGTACTACAATGTACTACGTACATCAGTATTAGTATACCAGTCCGGATAGCGTACTACAATGTACTACGTACATCAGTATTAGTATACCAGTCCGGATAGCGTACTACAATGTACTACGTACATCAGTATTAGTATACCAGTCCGGATAGCGTACTACAATGTACTACGTACATCAGTATTAGTATACCAGTCCGGATAGCGTATCTCCATGTATATATCAATTCACTAGAAGTGTCAATAGCGTGTATCAGAACCATTTTAGAATATGAAGTGGTTATTTTACCATGTCAAACTTACAATTTGAATTATTTTCACTCTGTTCTTACTGCTTTTTCGTTTTCTTGCGCTAAATATCGGCAATACTTTGGCCTTTGTGTTTAGCGTTCGCCCTATCGCGGTTTTATGGGTTTTGTCCCTCAATAAGACAAACCAAAGTTCCTAAAATTGATACTTGCAGCTCGCGGCTTGATGTTTAGCTTTAAATGTGTGGTGGTAAGCACTGATTATTCCGGTATCAGAATAGTATAGCTGGCTTTCTCTCAGAACCGTGTCCACATGTGAGTGTCCAAGTGTGTTGGTACATTCAAGTAGCCCTGAGAAGTTCAACTGTCATGGTCACCGTTCCCATATAACCTTAACTGTTGCAAGGACTACAAAGCTTCACAAAATCAAACCATACAAAAATTATCATTTGGTATTAGGAATTTACCTCGGCCTTTCTGCGAAAAAATACCTTTACAATTAATAAGATTGGCAAAAATGAGAAGGAAGGTTCTATTAGGGTCTGCTAGTTTATATTACCTAGTCATACATTACAGCTTTATGATTATAATGCCCCAAAATATCATTAGCCACCTCGCTGAACATTTTTCAGCGCCTTTGCCAATCCGTAAGTTCCATTAAATGTGTTGTAGTTACTCCGTTTAACGCTAACAGTGGATTGTATACACGATACGTGTATTGATTGTAATTAACTGACCGTGACGTATTTATGTTTCAGGACACGTTAAGAGTGGTCTATCTTACATCCACCATATCGGAGTGGCTAGTCGCCGCCTCCATTCTCGCTTTCACACTCTCCTTTACCTGGGACTTCCGGTCAATTGTCCTTGAGAGTCCGAAGGTCAAACTCAATTTCCAGCAAATAGAAAATGTAAGTAAAAAAGTGGGAATATTTGTTTTTGGTTAAAATGCTTTATTCTTTGTTAACATAAATATACCAGGTTCCCAAACAATGTTCTTAATTTAAATATTTGTATGAAAAAATGTCTTCCAGAATAACAACAATATTGTCCGACCAGGCTTTCCTTATTTAGGTCATCTTTAATTAGACAAAAGTGCCATCGTATTATCTTTAATTGTAGATGAAACGTTTAGCTCTGAAGGTGTTTGGCAGTGGTAAAGGAAACCTTATTATTGTACTGTAACTACAACGTCTTTGCCATTTCAAGATAATGTAAATAGAACTCAGTAGATCAAAACAAGCAAAACGTTTATTCTAGTCTACATTGCATTTCCTTTAGGGTAATAATAACAACAGAACATCAACAGAAATGGAAGCTACTCCAAGGGGAACAACTCCAGTGTGATATGAAAACTCACGGGTCGAGACCGGAAATCCATTCACGAATCTTTCAAACACTATCCCGGACAAAGACACAGCTGTCCGGTCAGACTTTCCTGATTGAGTGCAACTTAATTTGATACAAATGCCATCGTATTATCCTAAATATTATATCTCCCTGTCAACCGCGGAAAAATACTTCCTTTTATGAGGGAAAGGTAATATGCATACAATCTCTACAATCGGGAATTGCAACAAGAAGGAAATACTTGAAGACCGTTCGATCATAAGGTCAGACAAGGAAATATAGCGTTGTTGACTGTAGGTTTAGCAGGAAGTTAGGTCACTGAGGCGGGTGTACATTTCAGCTAAAGTGAGTACGAAATAAACACGAAATCAGTCTGGACACTATAGAGCAACGACCGTTAGTGACATGATCTGAACATCCAAATGTCTCAAACAAATTAATGCCTAGATTTTATTTTTGCGAAATTTGTTATCAAATCACTTTTAAAACATTTTCATCAGAATAAAAATAAGCAACAAATTTTCTAAAAGTTATATACAGTCAGCTACAATATGGACCAATGGTTGGAACAAGGATTTGAAATAAGGCACGGTTAGGGCCTACAGCGAGAACAAGCTACCCTGGGTTTGGGGCGTTCTCTGAGTGCCGACATAAAATTATGTCTCCATACATTTTTGGAGAAAAAAAATCAGAATAAAGAAAAAGTTTGAAATGATAGTGAAATATTCCTTCATCTGTAATAAATATATAGTCCCTAACCATTCCTTTATTATCTGGTTTTGCTTTCAAAGTAAGGATTAAAAGTAATAAAACTCTGAATTTTCCTTTTACAAAACTAAGAGAATTTATGTCATGAGGGAACATACATGTATGAAGAAGGCTGAACTGTTTTGATACTTGTTAAGCACAAATAATGTTTTTTTGAAAGTTGAAAGCTTGAAAATAAATTTATGAAATGCCGAAAATATAAGAAAAAGGAAACTGAAAATGTAAAAAAACAATTGAAATTGAAGAAAACATCTCAAATAAAAGAGAAATTCTTAAATTAATGACAGGGAAAAGCTACTGGTTCCATGACCAGATTCTGATCTCATTCAAGATGGAGAAGGTTGAAGAGGCATAGATTGACCCATATGAGAGTTGAATAGATAAGCTCCCAGTCCAAATACATACATACGAATTTATTAACCCTTTTATTTCAGTAAGTGTTGCGTTGTCTGTATTATCGTGTTTAAATTTAAATTTAACTTTAATATTTATTTATTTGATATGGTTTATACTTTAAAGCCCAAGGTCTGTCACTAGTGTTCGATTTTGACTAGCTCTGATGATATATTTTTACATGCTCTTTTTTGGATAACGACTGGACTGCCAGATATAAATACAAACACGTTTCACTATAATCTGCATACTATTTTATCTAGATCTGATTTGATGTAATATTATCCAGATATTGCAATGGGCGGGGCAGATACAGCTCTCCTACGAGTACCATTCTCACAGCCACAAGTTTTATGAACATTCCTTAAGTAGGGAAATTCCTTTACTTAAAATTATCTTAAATATAGTAAAGCATTACGAAACTTAAGGGAAATGTCTTGAACTAGATTTCCCTTCAAATCCAAAAATGCTTTTATATGGAAAGAAACATAAGGAATTTCCTTAAGATAAGGAAACTTTTATGAAACTGATGCCTGAATACTTGTTAGGGGCAGCGCAAATTCTCACCTGAAAAGCGTGGTTTATTGAAATGATTATAATCCATTCATACATATTTCCGCTTATTTCAAAAGTTTTCAAACTCCAAAAAATAGTCTTTCTTCATTTGAAAATTACTTTTCGAGTTCACTTTCCTATTAATTAAAATAAACAATAGTACCATATAGTTTTTAAACCCATATTGATTTAATTTTTTTTTATTTTATCACTTAAACACTTGTAAGGTACATGTACTGATAAATACAGATTTTTGTTTCCTCACTAAATGACTAAGGTATATACTAATTCGGGTATTATAAAGTTTTAATTAATTGTGCTTTATAATTAAGATTTCTATCTGTTATTGAAAGATCAGTTCAATTAATTTTAACTCAAATACTATATGGATCAGCTTGTTAAATTAGTATTATCAAAAATGTGAAACTTGAGAAAATGAAAAACCCATTTATATATGTATATTTATATTAACAGATGTGCTTTAGTTCCAACAGGTAACTTTTACAGGTAGATTCACTTGTTGAAACTCTTTTTAGGAAAAAGACTATATCAAAACAAGTTGCCCTACAGATAAATTAAAAATGTTGGCACTCAGAGATATACCCCTTGCTTTGACCAATAGCGCGTACAATACAGCTACGGTTTGGACATGAAGTCTCAATTATAGTGCCAATCCCTCGTCACACAGTGTGATATAATGAAGTGTAGTATGCTGATACATCTGGAACTGTATAGAGTGGGAGAAAAATGGAGGGAATTTGTTTAGTTTAAAATGAAATATTTAGCATGTACATGTATAATATAACTATATCTCTGTGTATTTGATGTCGTGGGTTTCGTGTAACAGTAAAGCTATGTATTTTGCTACAGACAATACAATGAATATTGAGCTAATTTTACGTTCTCTGCGCAAAAAAAACCAGACAACCTGCAAAAAAAGTATCAACGAAACAGAAATAAATACCAACGATTATTCATGTTATACACTTCGTCAGTATGTTATTTCTCGAACTCTGACCCGCAAAGAATGGTCAATCTCTTAATGTTGAGGGTTGTGCTTGGACTCCTTCGAATAGGAAAAAAAAGAAATGTCTCCCCAATTAATTTGCTGGGTAGGCGGACCTCCGTTTTAACGGTGTCTGGATGAACGAAGCTGGTCTTGAATACGTTATTTATATGCAAGTCAGAAATATGATTATGTTTTGTTTTTGAATCATCAGAAGTGATGGAACTGAGATATGAGAAAGATGATGACAGGGTTGCGAGAGAGTGACAGATATACTGATCATGTATATTCTATGCGAGTGGGAACATACGATTACATTAAATTCCTTGAATTATGGGTGTATCATGAGTTGAAACTGTAATTTGAAAAGGATGACGATCGGGAGGGAGCGATAGGGATGGAGAGGGAGAGGGAGAGGGAGACAGAGCGCTATCCCGGGAGACAGGGGGAGAGGGAGACAGAGAGAGACAGAGAGAGAGGGAGACAGAGAGAAAGAGGTGTTTATGGTTTGTATTTAGACGTAGTACGTTAGAAATGATATCGTGGTAATTACATTTTTCAATTATGCATGTGATGTATGTGATTATTATGTTTAATATAATTCTAACGAACCAGCCACAGGTTGTGACCATTCTGTTTGTGTCATAGAAAGTCGAGTCTTACGGAAGTGGGAGTGGATCTCGTGAGACAGTTGTTTTATTTATTGTCAATATCATGCACAGTAACTAAATAGTGTAAAGGTATTATAAACTGTCGGAGGTCTTTCAAAATACAATTGTTACTAACGTCCTGTAAAAATATAACTGTTATCAATCTTATATTTGAAAAAATATATACTTTTAGGCAAGGAGCTTGAAATAAATTAACTGAACGGACTTAATCAAGTGTTGTTCAACAGTGTAAGCAAAATGAAAATGAAACGAAAGTAAGAACACTTTCTCACACGAAAATAATTCTTGATAATAATTATGTAAAAAACCAATCATCATTATTAATGCACCCATGGCATTTTTTGAAGTTCCTGAGACATAATGATGCCATAGATATATGAAAAATTTGTTGTAAAATTAATAATGTTGTAAATGGTTCTCCCGTTTAGTATTCTCTGTATGAGATTGTTTTTACTGTATACCTAACTCTGCTATATTTCTAGAGGTATGCCGCAGCGCAATCCTACCACAGCATTTATAATGAAAAACGTTATTTATAGATACTTAATTTTGTATTACTTGTAAAAAACTGATTTTAAACAAAGACAAATACATGTGGATATTCTGCATTATTTGGTATGTATGTATAGGAAAGGCCCCAAGTTATAAAGCCAGTGCTTGTTGGGGAGTGCAATTAAAATCTTTAATAAAACAATGTTGCCGATGTTTTGTATATATTTGTTCTAAGAATCAGAAACAGATACGTTAAACATTGTGGAAGTATGTACCTATTTGTAACTCGTATTTTGATGGTGTATGTCGAGTGTGGTTATTGGTACTTGTGACGTCTTATTTGTCGTAAAGCGTGCACTTGTGTGAAGAAATGTGAGCGTCCATTTCCCTGGATGTGTATCCTTACTCTATATAACGTGGTTACTATCACTCACTCACTCACGATATCATCTTGAAATACATTTATAGCGTATGGACAATGTGTTTGTTATTATGTCCAGACATTAAAAGAGGTCAATATTAAGGAAGGGCCATAGAGGACTACGTATGTTTTAACGCTGTAGGAGCCGACGATCATGCCAATAATACACTCGACTTTGTTAAAACCGCTAAAAAGTAAAAAAATATGAACTCTGTTTTGACAAATTATTCATTGTGATTCCTCATTAATCTATAAATTGATAGAATTCAAGGGCTAAACACTTGACCAAGGCGTCTGTTAAGATAACAAAAAAAAAGACAAAACGGTTCAAGTAACTGATAAAAAGAAGTCTAAGATAATGATAAGAAGAACATGAAACAGGAGTTGGAGAGATAAGTTCCCACCATCAGGATAAAGAGCATCACTCTGTATTGAGACGCCTTTGTAAAAAACGGAGCAGAGGTTATCGATCTTTTGGGATTTTCTCGAAAACATTTGTTAACTTCAATTGTCAGGTTGAGCCACGAATAACGACATTTCAGTTTTATGCATAACATCCTTGACCCATAACAGGAAACATTTCATAGTCACTAAATCACCACCAGGATGTGTCCGGCACACCTAAACAGTACAATAGAAGTATGTACTTCAGTTTAACACTTGTTATTGCCATATCTGATCAACCAATCGAGTCACTTTTATCCTGTAATGAAATACTTCACTTCCGACTGGTTTTCCCATCAAAACGCAAGATAACGAAATTATATCGTAATAATGACCAGCATAAACCATGTTAAGTTTGGAAATGTCGCGAAGTCAGCTGTCCGAATAAAGATAAGATTATTGTATGCATTTAACTTTGACAGAAAAAAACACGTGATAGCAAAAATAGAAAACAAATACACAATTACAAAATCCATGTCATTACAAAAACAGAACAGAAAATGAGAAGAAACAAAAATACAAATAAAAGGACAGACATAATAAACCAAAAAGAGAACTGAAAATAGGCCAGATGCTGCTGAAGAAACTAGGTTGGCAATACATGATCTGATAACACACATATACTTCAGTAATCATTGCAGACACTATGATATCAATGTTAGAAATCAGGTCATGATTCTATATATCTTAAAGAATCATGGCATTGGTATGAGTCATTATAATGAAACATGCCGTAAATGTGTTGTCGTACAAACATATGCCGTTAACATATTAGTCGTTGTAAACGTACAATTCTACACCTTGTGATAATCATTACACAGTAGAACTTAGCTCGTTATGCCACAGTCATTTGCACCATTACTCAAGGCAAAGAGGTATTGAAATGTCCGAGTACACATCGAAATAAAATATCCCATGACCTGTTCGATTTGTTTTAATATCTAATTGATCTACTCGGTAAGATATTATAACATTGTCGCATTTATATTGTCATACAATGAACTAACAAACTAGCCAAAGTCATCTACGTTAAGTTGTTCTAGTCCCAGTAATCCTCTGGCGCCTTTTGAGTAGACGGTTAATTTTATATTCGTTGTACTAAAGATCATATCCAATTCACTCCCGAGCATTCAAATAACCAAAGTATTGAACTGCCTACCGAGAAGCTTAAAGTATGTACATGTATATGATATCCATATTTAGTACAAGGCTCCGGAAGGGGACCATAAGCGTCTACAAATGTTGTCATCAACATCACAGATCACTCGTATTGGCATGGGACTTAAACCGCTCCGGACGTAGGAACCGGATCAGATCTTATACAATCTCATTATTCTGTCTGGGTGATCTGGAAGAGACCAATAGGAATTCAATCTCGTGGACTAAGTCATGTGATTCGGACTGCATGGACATTGAGCTACGTAGCCTGATTTGAATACAACAAGGAAATCCCTACATTACCAGGACACATTTGTTGTGCTAGGATCATTTGCTGTAAAACATTAAGGTATGTTGTTGAGGACGTTGTTAAAGTCCCCCCTCTGTGATTTTGGGACGTAAATAAGGGTAGAACATTATTTATTGTAGAAGTCCTCCTTCTGTGATTTTGGGACGTATAATTAGGGTAGAAAATTATTTATTGTAGAAATCCCTCCTCTGTGATTTTGGGACGTATAATTAGGGTAGAACATTATTTATTGTAGAAGTCCCCCCTCTGTGATTTTGGGACGTATAATTAGGATAGAACATTATTTATTGTAGAAGTCTTCCCTCTGTGATTGTGGGACGTATAACTAAGGTAGAACATTATTTATTGTAGAAGTCCCCCCTCTGTGATTTTGGAACGTATAATTAGGGTAGAACATTATTTATTGTAAAAGTCCTCCCTCTGTTGTGCTAGGACGTTTGATCACGGTAGAACATCACTCATCGTAATTACGGTAGGACTTGACTTATTGTAAAAGTCCCCCCTCTGTTGTGCTAGGACGTTTGATCCCGGTAGAACATCATTCATTGTAATTACGGTAGGACTTGAATTATCGAAATGTCCTCCCTCTGTTGTGCTAGGACGTTTGATCACGGTATGCCTTCTCTTATTGTAAAATTCTTCCTTTTGTGATGTTAGGACGTATAATTAGGGTAGAACACGATTTACTGTAATACGTCTCGGTATGTCATGTTAAAACGTTTGATCATGATAAGACAATTTTTATGACACATTACGGTTTGTGGTGTTAGAACGTTTGGTAACAGTAGGACATTTCTATTTTATTTCCCAATATGTTGTGTCAGAATTATTGATCAAGACCAAGTACTGTCAAACTTCCTCTCTTTCCTGCCGGTAAATAGAGCTGTTTCGTTTTTAGTTTTCATTTATTCCTAGTTCCGGGTGTTTGTCTCTAAGTTCCGAATGTTTGTCCCTTAGTTCCGGATGTTTGTCTCTTAGTTCCGGATGTTTGTCTCCTAGTTCCGGATGTTTGTCCCTTAGTTCCGGATGTTTGTCTCCTAGTTCCGGATGTTTGTCCCTTAGTTTCGGATGTTTGTCCTTTAGTTCCGGATGTTTGTCTCCTAGTTCCGGATGTTTGTCCCTTAGTTCCGGGTGTTTGTCTCTTAGTTCCAATGTTTGCCTCCTTGTTCCGGATGTTTGTCTCTTAGTTCCGAATGTTTGTCTCTTAGTTCCGGATGTTTGTCCCTTAGTTCCGGGTGTTTGTCTCTTAGTTCCAATGTTTGTCTCCTTGTTCCGGATGTTTGTCTCTTAGTTCCAATGTTTGTTTCTGTTGTCACTGTGATTTATATTGCTTTCTGTTGGTCTTTCCGAAATACAAGAATCGTATTTGGACGAGATATTTTTATCCATTGCTTTTGTTATCCGGTGTAGTTCACGTTGACCAATAATATAATTCGACAAATTTATATTAAGATTAATATTTATCTCTAATTATGTACTATTCCTACACAAGGACGTATTATTGTTTCTTTTATGAAAGTATACTGGAGAACTTGATATCTTCAATGTACTTTGATTTTGTCTATAAATACAAATAAACAAACAGCCCTTGTGCTAGAAAAAGTCACAAATGAGATAACTGTAAAATTGCTACAGAATGTGAAACTTTTAATGTTTTTCAAAACATCAATAACATATCGAGTAGATATATAAAAAAGTAACATGTGTAATCGTCACATGACAACATTGTGTAGACTGTTTCCTATTATTACATCAGGATCACATTACACAGAGAAATATTGATTTAAAGGCCGAGAGGAAAAGAGAAGCTTTATAAAAATACATATATAAACTTCGTAGAATATAAAACACTATAAGTAATTCATAGTATAAACAAATAGTCAAAATGTACATATCAACTTAACGTTCTAGATAAATAATCTATAATATAAGTGTACTGTGTTATATACTGAAAGGATATTTCAATACATGATAATATTAAATACTTAGATGGTAATAATAGATTTGTGCACGTGACAGTTAATTCTCCGAATCCCTGTTGTATGTACAGGCACTGTGTATTGATTCACGCCGGAATGAAGCGCTCCTGATGACGAAGGGAAGTGAGGTCAAGCACGACTGGTTCAGCAAGGTTAACTGCATCCTCTTAACATTGATATACCCTCACACACGACGCTCACTCAGTCATTTTTGATGAATAGGAACTCAACACACATATTTGTGATTACGCAGGAGTCTACTATGGATGCATTCCCCTATACAAGGTAGGTCAGGCTTGTTATGATGTCGGTACCCAGTAGATAGGCTTTGGATAGACAGTTTGGGTTTTAGGAACCAGATGTATCATAATGACAAAGCTCAATTAACTTTATGTCAAGTGTTTTTTTTTTTTTTTTTTTTTTTAAATACATCTCGTTGGTCAACAATTTGAATCTGATAATTGTGATCATTATGGTCCTGTTATGTTTGAATTTAAAGAATCGTGACAGTAACTGTTATCTTGCTATGTTGAATGTTGTTGAGGCCAGATACGTAGAAACACGCGTGAGTGTGAACATTGCATTCCTTACCCATGTTGTGACATTTTACATTATATAGTCATCATCGCAGTGAATGAGTATTTAGATGTATACAACTATACAGAACATTATATGCTATACTATATACTCACTCATTTGAGTGTGCAACACATTCAAGAGTATAAATGTTAGATAAATGATGATAAGGATAACATATAACTATTTTATAAAAATTAAAAATTGCATTTATATCTTTATGACGTGTCATCAATCTCCTTTATCTTGATCTGAATTATGTAAGTTTCGCATCGCTTTACAGAAAAGTTAGTCATATTATGGTCTGATTTCATAGTTTGATGGGGCGGATCTTCATTATTTCTATAGTTATATGGCGACAACTAAAGCGACATGTTTTCCAATATTTAATATCTTGAAGATCGTTTTTCTCAGTCAGACACAGACTAGAGTCACACATACAAACAAATATAACGCGTGATCATGCACACTAATCAAAATTACTGCAGAGAAACTGTTTTCTAAACATTACAATAGTTATCTAATGACAACAACTAAATTACTAAACAATAGAAACACGAAATGTTTAAGCTGGAAGTAATCACATCCGAGACTGAACATATCTTCCTAGTTTTAGGGACTGTTTAATGAAGTGTCAAGATTCGAGTGTAAAATGTATATTAACTATAGACACATTCGTGAAAGTAGATTTGGTACATTTAGGTACATTGTACCCAGAATATTTTTTTCCCAAATCTTTCCTGTTATACTTGGACTCTGTGACATGAAAAGTATTCCCCATTCAGACAAGGTTACTAAAATATTCCACATCTTCCCAATAAATACAAGTACACCATAATATACCATAATTTAACCATAAACGTTGTAACATCTTTGACATGTTTTGTATGTTTAGGACTAGTATTGTCTTTATAATGATAGATTTAAACAGTTAGACATGAACGTATCAGGTATTGGCTTGTTACATATATAGATGCCATTATACAAGCCGCCTACGATGTTATTGTTGCCTAACAAAGTCATTTCTATGCATAATTAAGTAATAAACAGGCGAGATGATGAGGCAGGCTTAATTATTTATACCTATTCTGAAATAAACAACAACACTGCATTGGTTGCTAGCATAATATTGATCATTTAAAGAGCTAGGGGAGGTTTTTTCTTCGATGTTTGCAGTAACAGATGTCTAGCGCACGCATTAAAAGTGCTCGCCACAAGCTGATATCAGCAGGTGATGAAAAAGTGTTTTGTTAACTTTGCAGTGGAAGATAAAGTTGTTATAGAAACAGCCTCTCGACACATATTTAAAAAAAAATGAGAACGTTTGTTCTGTCATTAAAATGCTATTGAAAATCGATCCCGACAATACCAATATTTTGCTCTCCACAAATATACTGCAGACGTATACATGATGTTGATGGAACTGATTTGAAAGTTAAAATTAAAAATATTAATATGAAATATTTATGAACTGAATCATAAAGATTTATCAGAAAATTAAAACAAAATCAACATGGCGTACCTGAGTGAATGGCATTGTATATACCACACATTTAGATGGTGCTTTAACACGTTGACGTACTCATAAGTATACAATACTATAGATTACCCGTACTTCAATAGTTCAAATTATTTGTTTATACACTTACTATCTTGAAATAATATGATACCTATTATTCATATGCCTTTACATATACATTACATATTTATTTAGTATTCTGTATGTATGTTGGGGTTTCCGATATCATCGACCTGTTGTATTTTCATTTTCTTCCTTGATGGTGTTTTGATAATAATGATATATCCATAATTCATGTATATGTATGTATATACACACATACTGCATATAACGCCAACATACATCAACTAAGCATACTAGATATTTATCTGATACCCGTCATACCATAGGGATGATGACTATTACCTACATATAATTATTTATAGGTACTGTACATTGCTTACATAGGCTTTTCGGAAACGAATTAGTCATTCGGAAGTGTTGATTTACATAGGTAACACACACAATCACTTAAACTTATAACAGTATATAACTGAACATCCCGAGTATAATGGAGAGAAACGTAATGTTCCCAGTATGTTCTTATCAGTGGGTGTGTTCAGTGTTGTGATAAGAAGTTGGAACTAAGCCACAACTGACCTTATTTGTTTACCTTTTGGGAATTATTCAGCAAGTGTATATTTAGCTAGTTGGATAGTTTTCTTTATCTGACATATATACATGTGTGTATTTGAGGTTATACGTAGTTTAATTGATTGTCACATGGTTAGTTGTAAATATAGGGTATACGATCGAGTGTAATTGTACACTTTAACACGGACCTCCACTGGCACCAGATATACTGAAGGAGAGAGAATGGCGGAGGACACTTGCTGTCTTCCACACAAGTCACGACACTCTGTGGGTGACGGGTAAGCCTTATTTATAGATTGAAGTAGATATGGATATGGTTAGCCGGCGTTCTTAATTGAAGGCTATACCCACATACATAGTATGTAAAATCGACCACGAGTGTCCCTAGTCTCTCGTCAGGACCATTTACAATATACAGTACTACCTTTAATGTGTGTTTTTATTTACCCGCTTCTAAAGGTAATACATATGTTTCCGTGTTTAATATCACATAATATATCACACCGTTTGTGTTCTGTACACATTTTACCTGTCAATGTGCAATGTAGGTCAAACACTATGTAGGGAACACAAATAACACATTAGACACATGCATACATGTACCACGGTATACTAAATAGAAACATCTCTCGCTGTGATTCTGATCTCACAAAATATTGACAACTACGTGCTTTTCGCTTCTGCTAAATAGTATTGTACTTCTGTGTGTTAACTTCAAGGAAACAGAAGTGTCATTGTTGAAATTATGTTCTGTGTTTCGAGGTTATGATATATATTGATTGTGTTTACTAACTGTTTCTGATATTGTGTAAGACATATAATTGATAATGTGTAGTTGCCTTATTTTACGTAACAATGCCTATTATCTATATATTCAGCACGGACAAACTTGATGCCGAGATTGCAACAAAGACGCCCGGATGTTTGGGATTTTTACAGAAACGGCCATGGATTCTGCCTCTAGTCACGTCCCTATGGCTATTCTTCTCCATCTTCATCACGTGAGTACATATACGAGTGTTTAAATGGAAATTTCCCAATAGATAACGACAAGCGTGTGATTGTACTGTAGCTATTATTGATTTAGTTTCTTAAGTTAATGGCTTTGTGATTGGCCAACCAGCATAATTGCGTTGCATATTATCGATTTAGTTCTATATATATAATATCCGGTCATTACTAAATAACTAATAATAGTAATTTGGTCATCACTTATTTTATTCAAAGATAGGGTCGATGGTTCGCGAGTGACTAATGACTGTGCCTTTGATCAACTTTAATAGTTATTTATATGTGATATTTATTGTAAATATTCAAAGAATTATTGGTACCTTGGTCAAGATCTATACGATGTTTCGTGTTTTTGTAAACAACCATCTAATTATACCATCTTAGTTATTATCAATTCACCTCTGTATGTTTGATTATTTGTATGAAATGATTTATTATATTACATTGGTCATAACTACTTCCGGTACGTTTTGAACCACCATTTCATTAAATTACATTCAATTATTATTGAAGGTAACTAACAGGTAGAAAACCATTGTCGCCATTGATTATATATTGTTTTTTACAATATGGAATTTTAAATGTTAGTTTCGTTCAACGATCAGCACAAATTACAGGAACAGATATTTAAAGCTTATGATAAACCTTACGCTGCAATCAACCATAGCTACGCATAACACTACCATTAAAAGTATCAATAGAAATCTTCGCTGTGTATAAGCCGTGTTTTGACTGGGTAAGTATAGATTAAATGTACGCTATGTATATTTGATCTTTGGTATGTGACTTTTGGTAGATTAAGATATAAGGACAACTACAATCAGGTGTTTTGGGTATACCTATTGGCTTACAAAACTCATCATATAACATATAGTATGGTTTGAGGTAAAGCCATGATGAGCCTTGACCTATGGCGGTATTAGTAGTAGAAATTGGACAATAGGAGAAAAGGGATTGCGAAAATAATAATGTTATAACATTGCGACATTGCGGTGATTATCTGTAATGTATAAAAGTGATTGTAAGCCTTTGTTTTTGTTTCAAAAATTATAACTTATACTATTGACCATATGTTGTACAGCGCTTTAGAGTAATTTTACAAATTAAATAGGGCGCTATATAAATGTTGTATATTATTATCATAATATTTAATCATTATTATCAAGTCAATCTACCCCTATCCCAAACTATTTGCTTGAACATGCCTTTTTTATCTACGTAGTATTGTCCCACTATAAGGAGACCAAATCCAAAGTGTCAACTATTGATGATCTTTTTCTCTCGTCAATAACGATTGGAGTGCGAATAAAGTTTTCACAACATCTTGTGTCATGCGACGATAGTAACAATTTGTCCTGTACATCTGTACATTCTGATTTACAATCTTTTCCATTACTTTATTAACACTTTCATTCATTTGTTCTTATCTTCGGCGAAAATCGAAACTGTCTAGTGTTGCGTGATTTGTTTTATCACATATAGAATTGTTTAAATAATAGTATATTTGAATTTTCAAGTAAAAGTACACAAATATGAATACAGATGAGCTAATGAGTTAACAAAAAAATGTTTCAGACATATTTTGATTGTTATGGCGTAAAGAACATTAATATCAATGGATAAAATATACAATTATGTAACAGTAGTTGTTTCCACCTGTCTGCAGTATTGTAAGTTATTTGTATGATGATTTTCTTTTTTCTGTGATGTCTCTTGGTTTTCTGTTGTCACCTTAACGTATCAAGATCCGAATTTGTCCCCGTGTGTCTATTACGATAATTTGTTTTCTATTTTACTAAACAGTACATCATTTACTTGCTTCCGCTGTTATAATGTTCTTGTCGTGTTTGGATATATGCTTGATGCTCCTGCTTTGTGTCCAGTCTGTGTTGACTGATCATGAGATACGTTATTACTATACTAGGATTTACTTTGTGTCCAGTCTGTGTTGACCGATCATGAGATACGTTATTACTATATTAGGATTTACTTTGTGTCCAGTCAGTGTTGACTGATCATGAGATACGTTATTACTATACTAGGATTTACTTTGTGTCCAGTCTGTGTTGACTGATCATGAGATACGTTATTACTATACTAGGATTTACTTTGTGTCCAGTCTGTGTTGACTGATCATGAGATACGTTATTACTATACTAGGATTTACTTTGTGTCCAGTCTGTGTTGACTGATCATGAGATACGTTATTACTATACTAGGATTTACTTTGTGTCCAGTCTGTGTTGACTGATCATGAGATACGTTATTACTATACTAGGATTTACTTTGTGTCCAGTCTGTGTTGACTGATCATGAGATACGTTATTACTATACTAGGATTTACTTTGTGTCCAGTCTGTGTTGACTGATCATGAGATACGTTATTACTATACTAGGATTTACTTTGTGTCCAGTCTGTGTTGACTGATCATGAGATACGTTATTACTATACTAGGATTTACTTTGTGTCCAGTCTGTGTTGACTGATCATGAGATACGTTATTACTATACTAGGATTTACTTTGTGTCCAGTCTGTGTTGACTGATCATGAGATACGTTATTACTATACTAGGATTTACTTTGTGTCCAGTCTGTGTTGACTGATCATGAGATACGTTATTACTATAATAGGATTTACTTTGTGTCCAGTCTGTGTTGACTGATCATGAGATACGTTATTACTATACTAGGATTTACTTTGTGTCCAGTCTGTGTTGACTGATCATGAGATACGTTATTACTATAATAGGATTTACTTTGTGTCCAGACTGTGTTGACTGATCATGAGATACGTTATTACTATACTAGGATTTACTTTGTGTCCAGACTGTGTTGACTGATCATGAAATACGTTATTACTATACTAGGATTTACTTTGTGTCCAGACTGTGTTGACTGATCATGAAATACGTTATTATTATAAAAGGATTTACTTTGTGTCCAGACTGTGTTGACTGATCATGAAATACGTTATTATTATAAAAGGATTTACTCAACAGTCTCCTAATCCTACTACTTCAGATACTTCGTCGGTGTCGTACTGGGTCATATAGCCACCAACGACTTCCCCTACATCAGGTAAGTGTTTTGATTACCTTCGCACGGAAAATAGGTCAGGAACTCATATTTACCAATTATCTCTATTTCATACAGTTAAGCAATCCATTATTCTTAATTCTCTTCTTTTTTCTATTTTATGCGGACCAGAAATTTGCAACAGGAAATTATTATTCCCTAAAAAAATACCTACAGTATTTAATTTCATAGATCTCGATTTTTACATGATGATTTCAAGCGAATAATTTTATAACTTATTTTTAAGTCAATGTCTAAATATTCACGAATATTTGCCTTTGCTTATCCCAATACAGTTGCTTAAAACAGTATAGAACTATTATGTACATTCCATATTAACTGTTCAATGTGTCAATGCTATATCCATGCATCATTTACATTGTCCGTGCTGTATATAGTGATATCATGATCCACGTACACATATATACCTGGTGATAACACTGATCAATATCCTGAAGTAAAGATAAAGTCAAACAAATATGGAATCAACTATATATCCTCGGACCCAATTATAGCTAGTTTCATTTTCTACTGGAAAAGTGACATTTTCCAAATGTATGTTGTGAAAAGCATATTTATTTTATATTTTGAGATATTTTTTTGTATTTGACAAAATGATGATTATAATAAATCGACGTACATATTGTATGTTTAAGCTTCAGTAGTTATAAAACATTTATACACATTTTAAGTGTATGTGTGTCAGAAAGCTTTGTAAGATACTGTGTCCTTGTCAAGATTATCACGAAGTTATTGCAATAACATTGACAACTTGTAGTCACACTGCTATTCAAGACCCAGAACGAGCAATATTCGGCCAGTGTATTAATATCGGAGCTGTTCTACGTGAGTATAAGTTCAACAATGTTTTCCTGTTAATAGAAAAAATTGTAAATGTTCATTTTGTTTAATAGCGATCTAATAACTGACAATGTTTTACATACAAAGAGAGACCTGTGTGCAGAGGTTCAACGCCTGGTTAGCTTGACGACAACTTACCGTAACAAAACTTAATTGAATACTTTTAAAAATAATTGAAATTCAAAACTTAAATTGTATGTATAAGGATTCATATTGATGTTTTGATGACAAAAAGTACAAAAAAGTTTGTAAATCTTTAGAAAGTATCAAAATTCACGCATTAAAATTTCTAAATCGTTATATAACCAGGCTGTAAGGAAAAACGGGCCCTGGTGATCAAATGAGTACTCGTACTACGATTGTACGTTAGATATGTACAGCTAACAGACTTACTTTATTCACACTTAGTGTTACAGTGTTATGACTATTCAGCATTCAATTATCATGTCCAGTCTGTGTTGACTGATCATTAGATACGTTATTACTATACTACATGTAGGATTTACTTTGTGTCCAGTCTGTGTTGACTGATNTAGGATTTACTTTGTGTCCAGACTGTGTTGACTGATCATGAGATACGTTATTACTATACTAGGATTTACTTTGTGTCCAGACTGTGTTGACTGATCATGAAATACGTTATTACTATACTAGGATTTACTTTGTGTCCAGACTGTGTTGACTGATCATGAAATACGTTATTATTATAAAAGGATTTACTTTGTGTCCAGACTGTGTTGACTGATCATGAAATACGTTATTATTATAAAAGGATTTACTCAACAGTCTCCTAATCCTACTACTTCAGATACTTCGTCGGTGTCGTACTGGGTCATATAGCCACCAACGACTTCCCCTACATCAGGTAAGTGTTTTGATTACCTTCGCACGGAAAATAGGTCAGGAACTCATATTTACCAATTATCTCTATTTCATACAGTTAAGCAATCCATTATTCTTAATTCTCTTCTTTTTTCTATTTTATGCGGACCAGAAATTTGCAACAGGAAATTATTATTCCCTAAAAAAATACCTACAGTATTTAATTTCATAGATCTCGATTTTTACATGATGATTTCAAGCGAATANAAATTTCTAAATCGTTATATAACCAGGCTGTAAGGAAAAACGGGCCCTGGTGATCAAATGAGTACTCGTACTACGATTGTACGTTAGATATGTACAGCTAACAGACTTACTTTATTCACACTTAGTGTTACAGTGTTATGACTATTCAGCATTCAATTATCATAAAAACTCTTTAAGGTTTCCTATTTACGTAGTTACGTTATAGGTACACACAGCATTAGACATATTGATTAGGCATTTACTTCCTTGTACATATTACCTAGTTATCGTCTTAAGAATTTAAAACTTCAATAATTTCAAAAACAACCGGACATTTTTAAACCCACTTTTCCCGATATTTGGTTCATGTTTTAATAACAGCGTAGCTTTTCCTTTAATTGTACATGTGGGAGCATTGTTTACAACTCTATAACGACACCTTTTGTGTTGCGACTAATGTAACGGTACTTAATGGAGTCGATAGAGTATGAGAAATAACGGTTTAAATATGATACTTTCCTCACCATTGTATTAAGACAGCATTTACTTATGCAGTTATATTCCTCTTGATTAAACCTCACTTCTTTTGTTTGTCATATATTCATACATTATATGGGTACCTGTGAACTATACAGGGGCCATTAATCCTTCCACAGTACATTTCTATCCTTGTATATTTTTACTTTACTTTTGTTAAAGTGTCCCCTGTGTTCCTATTTAAATCCGTATCAAGATCAGATGTGTTGTGTTGAAGCTGCGATATGTACATCTGTGTCCTGGTACATATGTACATAATGAAGCTGGATTCATGAATATACTGCGCCCCATGTGGTTATTTATAGATTTTGCATTAAATCCTAATGGCCATATCCGAATAACTTGTTTCTGTTCCAATACACGTCTCTATTATTTACCTCTTCACGACTGCTTACCTACACAGCATTACAGGATGACCACATCACAGCACCGTTGATTCACGTTTATAATAAACTTTATTTGACAAGGATGACATGTTTAGCCAAAGGCTAACATACCACATGGTCCTACCACGTTTGTCACATGTTGACGAAATACATTCGATATCTAGTCACAGTACTAACCAAATATAAGTTCTCATTAATACATGCATTGCAATAACCTACCTAATTAGTATCATATCCAGTCAGTAAAAACGATCAGTATCTAATACGTCTAATTTGATGAATCAAGATTCTTGTTTATCTTGCAGAATAACATTGTGTTTATATTTTTAATGTATTTCAAATAGTTTTTGTTTATTTCTTACAGTTGGTTTGAACAACATTGTTCGATATTTATATCTAAAACACATGCTTTACGTGTCAAGTGCGTCACCGAGTTGGCACAGGTGCAATATTGCTTCATGTGTTATCGGCATCACATCATCATTTGGACTCAGCATGGTGGCTAATTTCCAGGTGCGTGTAAGGTATCTGAACAGCCTTGTTCCAAATATTATTGGATACTCACGATTCAGATTACGAAGCATGTCAATATTGTTTTATAACAAGAACCAACAAACTACAGCCAAAAAAATAAAGGTCTGTTCCCATTGATTGTTTAAGAGAAGAAACTGTTAACCAGTAGATCGAACCGCTGGCCATTCCTTTTTGGAAATTTTGACCTGTAGGAACTGCACGGACATTTAAGAATAATTTTTAGTCTGATCATGATATTTATGTAGTGGTAAAAATGAGTTCATTTCACATTTATTTATATTTCTAAAGAGGATATTCTCGAAATAAAACAGAGTACTGATGCAACAGCCATTCACATTTCTACTATTACACTAACTTTATATTGAAACAGTATACTACATTGCACACGAATACTGTGACCAATAACACCGGTCCAGTAATAAATTTGCCAGATCTAAATTAATAGAACATTTCAAATATCGATAACAGGATTACTGTACAATGAAAGGTTCGCTATAATAGCATGAAAGCTTTCCATAATCATCTTGACCTAAGGTATATTTAGAAACGTGAACTTCTTAATCTGTCTTATTCGTGAGATTAGTCCAGTGATATCAAATTATAACAAGCTATCATATATCGTTTTGGTTTATTCATATATAACTCCTATCCATGTTTCGTACATAATTCCTATCCATGTCTCATAGATAATTCCTATCCATGTCTCATATCTAACTCCTATCCATGTCTCGTATATAATTCCTATCCATGTCTCATATATAACTCCTATCTGTGTCTCATATCTAACTCCTATCCATGTCTCATATCTAACTCCTATCCAT